CCTGTCCCCAGCAGTCCCCACCTTAGTTCTAACTCCCCTCCCAGCTTCGCGTCCCTATGGGCTGTCTGAGGTGCCCAGGGCCGGCTGCAGCGTTTGGGGGTCAGCAGGAATGGCTGAGCTAATGCAGAGCAACTTCTCGTGACTTTAAAAATTCTGCCAGGAGGCAAATCTGGGCTGGGGAATAGGAACCAAGATCCCGAGCTGGCCTGGGGAGCTGGAATTAGAATAGGAAATGTTGGTAAAACTGTTAGCTAGAAAAATAGATCACTTCTGCAAGTGTAGCGCTGACCATTAGAGGGAGCTCTTTAGCTAGAATATGCCAAGCAGGAGACACTGGCCATTTTTTGAAATGAATCATTTGGGCACATGCTGCTGGGGAGGGATACTATTGGGGGCTACAACAATAGTAACAGTGATGCTTTTTTCCTGCTACCTCCCAGGTTCCCCCTTTGTCCTTCTTTCCTTGTGGGCAGAGAGGGGCAGGTGAAGCGGGTGGGAAGTGGAGGAGAGCAGGTGCCGTCAGATATCACCACACAAGGAGCCCATAGGACATACACACTCTCCACGTGTCATTCCTCAGTCTCTCAGGAGTGTGTCTCAAGGGGACACTTTCTTGGTAATTCTCTGATGACGTTTGCTCCCTGCTGATACAGACTAAGCAGGTGCCTGTCCAAGAACCAGCACTGAGCAGAAACCTGTCCAAATTGAACATACACAAACTATCCCCTGAACTACCCCCCTTCCCCTCCGGGGCTCCATCATCCACTTTTCCATTCCCAAAGCTTTACAAGAGGAGATTCCTACCAGAAATTGAGCAAAGCTTTGAAACTGCAATGAATGGTCTCCAGGAATATAACCTTTTCCCAGGGCAGTGCCAGGGCTCCCGGGGAGGGGCGGGGGGGGGCAAGTGGGGCAATTTGCCCCAGGCCCCGGGCCCCACAGGGGCCCCCACGAGAATATAGTATTCTATAGTATTGCAACTTTTTTTTATGGAAGTGGCCCCCGAAATTGCTTTGCCCCGGGCCCCCTGAATCCTCTGGGCGGCCCTGGGCAGTGCCAACGCTGAGCCAATATGTCTAACCACAGTGTTTAATGATCCTTTTATGCTTTTGAGGTGCATGCTCAGTATGCCTCAGTAGGGCACCTGGGCTCAGCAGTACCTGTTCTACATCATTACATATTTGAGTTTATACACAAAGGGGCTGATTCTCCTTTCAGTTACTCCACTTTTACAACAAGGTAAAGTTCAGTGGAGTTACCTGGGATTTACACCAGTGTAGGGCAGGGAAGACTTGGTCCCAGAAACTTTCCCCTGCCCTGTGTCTCTGCCCCTCTCGTATGGGGGAATGAGGAGGCTTTAGTAGCTAGCAAGCAAGGAGCAGATTTGCATGAAGGGGCCGTTCTCCAGCACTGGCGGTTTAAGAGAGAATCGGAGGGTCCCAGCCACAGACCTATTTGCCTCAGGAAGTCGAGCTCATCTGGATTCCCACAATGGCCTGGGCCCCTCTACTCCTCACGCTGCTCACGTACTGCTCAGGTGATACATGATGTTTGCTTTTCCCCCTGGCTGCCTGCAGATCATGGTATTTGGGGATAAAGTCAATGCTGAGTCATTTTATTCAGGTTTCAGAGTAGCAGCTGTGTTAGTCTGTATCCGCAAAAAGAACAGGAGTACTTGTGGCACCTTAGAGACTAACAAATTTATTAGAGCATAAGCTTTCGTGGGCTACAGCCCACTTCATCGGATGCATCCGAAACTAATAAATTTGTTAGTCTCTAAGGTGCCACAAGTACTCCTGTTCATTTTATTCAGGTGTTTTCTCCTCCTGTTGCAGGTTCTCTCGCCCAGTACGTGCTGACTCAGCCACCTTCAGTGTCTGTGTCTCCAGGACAAAATGCTCAACTCACCTGCTCAGGGAACAACATTGGTAGCAAGTGTGTGCAGTGGTTACAACAGAAACCTGGCAGCACCCCGCTACTTGTTATATATGGTAGTAGCAGCAGACCCTCCGGAATCCCGGATCGATTCTCTGGTGCCAAATCTGGTAACACGGCCACGTTAACCATCACTGGAGTCCAGGCACAGGACGAGGCTGATTATTACTGTCAGGTGGGGGATGGTAGCGCTGCTCACATCGACACAGCCAGATGGGGAAGTGAGACACAATCTCTTGTTGTCCAAGGGAACGTGTCGCTCAGTTTAGATGCAGGGAGGGTTCCATTCAGAGGAGAACGTGCACGTGGGGCTGGGTGGGCGAAGGAAGATATTTTCAAGCAACACAGACAGATGGGGAAGTGAGACACAAACCTCTTGTTATCAAAGAAAACATGTCCCATGTCCTGATGAGGGCTTCCTTCTGTGGAGGAGACGGGGGGTGAAAGGAAGATATTTCCTCTGTCACAATATTTCCAGCCGCATGTAGGTGACTGGTCACCTACTCACTGTCCTCACTGGGGATTTCACTGTACAGCAAGTTCTCACCGAGGGCTAGAGGATTGGGAGCTAGTTGTAAGCAGGGTAATTCACTTACGGCTTCTTAAACACTTAAAGGAATCACCTGTGCATCTCCCTCCATTGCTCCAGCCTCTCTCTGTTCTGATCTCGCCAGTGGAGGACGTGGGCGCTCAGACAAGCTTGGGTTCTATGTCTCAAACCTACACTTCCAAGAATTAAAATACCCTCCCTCCCCTCTGAGCATCCGCCCAGAACCAATATAGTCTCTAATGGAGAAACGTGAGCACGGAAGCAGGGCAATGGAAGCTGCCCCCGCACTCCACCCCCCAGCGCCAAACCCTTTGGTGCCTTTGGCCTCTCACTCAGGAATAATCAGAACCTCTCAATCTGCTCTGGCTGTAAAAGCTGGGTCAGCTCCAGAATTGCTGAGCTGGTTCAATGACAGTAGGGCGTTTGCAGAAGAACTAGAGGTCTCAGGGCAAGGTGGGGGGATCTCTGCACTGATCCCCAGCTCTTTGTGTCCCACCTCGTGTTTAATGCAAGTAAATAAAGTGTTGGGGATGAGCCATGGTTCTGACAGCCAGTGTCGGGATAGTCGCCGTCACCCCCTGCTCACTGTTTGTGCTGCTCATAGCAGACCCTTCCCCTCCCAGGCTTGAGGTGAGTTACGTGGGGCTCTGGTTGGTTCCCATTTTTAAATCCAAGAACTTTAAAAGATAAACAGACACTAAATATTCCCAACTGGAGAGTCATGTCCGTGTTTGATTTCCCACCTATTTCAATCTGGGTGCTGGGGAAGGGATCTGAGAGGCTTCCCTCCCCCAGTGGCCAGTCTGCGTGTGAGATCAGCTCCATTGTGGGGAACTCCTGCAAATGCCTTTATTCAGCTGGGAACTGGCTTTGTCATGTGGCTTAAAAATGAACTTCATGTGTCAGGCACAGAACCTTCCAGAAGGCAGGAACTCAGAGTAGTATGGGACAGAGATGGGTTCTCCCTTCCCCAGAAACATAGACACAAGATAGCCTTTACTAATGAACATTTGAGGGTGTGTATTGGCCTGTCTTGGTGTTGCTGAGACTCCGTGTCGTTTTGTGTCTTTGGTGATGTTTCTAGCACTTTCCCAACTGCCCAGAGCAAGGAGCCAGGAGAACTCCTGAGGAGAAGCCTCCTCAGACTGATGCATCTCATTGGTCTTTAGTAATAAACAATGACAATAACACTGAGCTCTTCAGTGGGATTTTCATTCCTCACTCTCAGCACAAGGGGCGGCAGAGTCACCGCCCAGTTCTCTGAATTCCATTTTCTGCCCAATAAAAACCGCTCATGAATAAACATAAGCTCGTGTAGCCCTGCTGGGCGGCCTGGAGATGATGTAAATAAATCATCCCAGTGAGCAAAGAGCAGCTACTAAGAATGTAGATTGCCAGACACAAAAACCCAGATCCTCTAGTGTGGGCCCTTAGATGGGAGAATGGAACTTTGCAGAATCCCCCCATTTCCTCCTTAGCTCTGCCCTAGTTGGCTCTAGAAATGGTTAATCCTGGGCAAAGTGTATTTATTTCCCATTCCTCCTTCTCAGAAACTGCTGAGTTGGTTTCTGATCAATGAACCCGCAGGGAAATGACAGGCCGAGAGGGGAAGGATTGGGCAAGTTATAAATACCTGAAAACAAGGAGTTAGAATGGAAACTGTCGCACAGTCTGAACTCCAGCAGCCTCCAGTGCAAGCTTTCAAATGAAACGTTGATCGCAGGGCCGGCTCTAGGCACCAGCGCCCCAAGCATGTGCTTGGGGCGGCACTTTTCAAGGGGCGGCATTCGAGCACTTGGGGCGGCACTCTGTCTGGGGTTTTTTTGTTTTTGTTTTGCTTGGGGCAGCAAAAATCCTAGAGCCAACCCTGGTTGATTGTAGCAGACGGTCATTGCTGGAGTGGAGCTGAGCTAGTGATCTTATACAGCAGGAGCTCCTCCCTAAAGGATGGTCTCTCCTCCCACGTGCCCAGCTCTCTGTGATCAAAGGACCCAATCAGATAAGAACAAACTAGAATAAAGGTGGAGCTTAGATGCTGATCCCCCAGTAGGATCAATATAAGAGGCAGAGATTGTCAGGCCTTCTCAGTGGATCTGGCTGTTTTCTCCTAAGGGCCCAAAATCTCCTCACAATGCTCTGGGTTCCCCTCATCCTCCTGCTGGGGACATGGTGCACAGGTGAGAACAGGGGGCAGTGGGTTAAATAAGTTGCTGCTGAAGCTGATGCACAACCAGATTCACCAGTGGCTGGGCACAAACAGGGAGGGGTTGATAAATTTCTACCATATTTTCCAGGTTCCAGCTCGCAGCCTGTGCTGACTCAGCTGCCCTCAGTGTCAGTGTCCCCAGGAAACACCGTGAAACTCTCCTGCACCATGAGCAGTGGGACCAGCATCGGTGACTACTATGTGTACTGGTACCAGCAGAAACCTGGGAATTCCCCACGATACCTGCTGTATTACTATACGGATTCCAGCAAGGGCCAGGGCTCTGGGGTCCCTGCTCGATTCTCTGGTTCCAAAGACACGTCCAGTAACGCCGGCTATCTGACCATCTCTGGGGTCCTGGCAGAGGATGAGGCTGATTATTACTGTGCTGTGATAAAGAGTGGCACTGCTGCTCCACACAGTGATACAGACAGATGGGGAAGTGAGACAAAAACACCCTTCCCTCCTCTCCCCCGGCCGGGACCCTGTGTGCAAAGTTCACCAGTTGCAGAGTTTTGTCTCTGGCTGTGACAAATCACACAGCTGTTTATGACAAGGAAATTAAGTCCACACAGCTATTTTCCGCTCCCTCCTCATTCTCCTTCTGCAGGATGGGGACTATCACCTTCTCCCTAAGAGTCAGCATCCCCTCTGCTATCAGAGTGGGGAGCGAGAGACAACACTCCTATCACAGCCGTAAGTGTCAGCACAATTTAATTCCTTCTCAGATCTTCCTCAAGGCCTCCAGCAAACACAATGGAGTCGGGCCCTGAGATTTCTGATGCAGAAACACATCAGAGGCAGAGGGGTGGATGGGTATAGTCATGGCCGGCTCCAGCATTTCTGCCGCCCCAAGCAATTGGGGGCAATTGGGGAAGAAAAAAAAAAAAACGCGATCGGCGGCAGCAGTTCAGCGGCAGGTCCTTCGCTCCTAGAGGGAGTGAGGGACCTGCCGCCCCCGAATTGCCGCAGGTGCCGCCCCTCTCCCTTGGCCGCCCCAAGCACCTGCTTGTTAAGCTGGTGCCTGGAGCCGGCCCTGGGTATAGAGGGGAATGGGGCATGAGGTACCACACATAAGGAAACCAAGGGCTATTCAGGCTGAGAGGGGTTGGCAGGGAAGATTTCTGAGCTCAATTTTGGCCAATGTGAGCTTGACACCAGAGGAGCCATCGAAGGGCAAGATACCGGCAAGAACATGCCAGATGGGAGAATGAGCAGCAGGAGACAGGGCTGGGGTGACGTTACACCCCATATTCTTTATGGAAATATGCTTATAATATGGATATGGTTTAACTGAGATATATTTTATGCCAGATGGGTCTTGTGAGGTATCATTCCAAAGGTTACAATTCACTGAATGTGATTATTCAATTTCTATGCATGGATAATTTCTGTGTCTAAAGTTAGGAATATTGACTATGTAAAAATTACAGCTTGTGTGTGTATTTGGGAGACACACACCAGACAACAGGCCATTAGCCTTGACGGACCATTAGGAAAAAAGAATAAGACTTTGAAGACAGTCATTTCACTCCTTCCTGAGAGGCGTCCTGCGACCTATCTGTGACACTACTAGGTCAGGTGGTCCTGTCACCTGGTACTAAACACCATTTTGGACTTCAAGTAATTTTCCACTAAAAGGAGGGCGGAAGGTCAAGACTGGGAAACAAAAGATTCACGCTTTATTTAAATCTTATTTAAGGCTGGGGAATAAGGCAAACAGGACTCATCTCCATTGCCTTCCTGCCCAAGAAGAAAGACTGCTGAAAGTACCTGAAGAGACAAAGGAACTGAGCGGTAGGACAGGCTAGGGCTGAGTCCAGACTAAGACAGGAATCTAGTCTGCAAAGAGAAATAACTGGAACTCTAAGCTATAGAAACTCTGCAACTTGTCTAAACAACACTTATGCTGAGAAATTATTTCTTGAAATCAGTCTCTTTAAGATCTTAAGCTTAGTATGTGTGTTTTGTTTTATTTGCTTAGTTATCTGCCTTGTTCTGTTTGCTATCCCTTATGATCACTTAAAATCTGCCTTTTATAGTTAATAAATAATCTGCCTTTTATAGTTAATAAATTTGTTTTTGTTTATTATTAAACCCAGTTTGTGCAATTATTAACTGGGGAGGCAAGAAGCTGTGCATATCTCTCCTCACATTGAGGGAGAGGGAGAAGTTTTATGAGCTTGCGCTGTGCAGATCTTTCTATACAGCACAAGACAATATTATTTTAGGTTTACTCCCCAAAGGGGGTGTGCACATGAGTGCTATGTGTGTGCTATAGAGGGATTGAGAGCCTAGCACAGAAAAACAGGGTGTGAAAACCCAGGCTGCTGGAAAGGACGGGCTCAGTGAGACCCTAGCACCTCAGGTGGCATCACGGACAGGGGAGGGGGGTCCAACCTGTCACAGCGGAGTTGAAAAATCTATCAGCACAGAGGTGATACTGACCCCATGTGAGCAGAGGGAGATACTGAAGGATAAGTTTCAGAGGGAGAAAAGGAGAGGACAAGGAGGGAGCCCTGTGGGACTCCCACAGAGAAGGGGAACGGGGAAGTAGGAGGAGCTGACAAAAGAGATGCTGACAGAGCAGCCAGGGGAAATCCAGCCCAACCACTAAGCACCCCAGGTGACCGACACCCCATCATCTCTGGGCACCGCTCTCTGCACTGGTTTCCCATTGAACAAGGGCCAAATTCAACCTTTAATTTCCCATCTTCATTGCCCTTCATCAGTCACTATCTCGCGCGGTTTTATAGCAAGTCCAGCATTAATTAGGGGTTTTGCTGAAAGCCCCAGATTCTGGACTCCAGTGAGTCCATGAGCACCTCAGCTTTCAGTGACTAGGCAAGGAAGTTTCTAGCCCTCGGGATTGCAGATATTGAAAAAATGACCTTAGCATGCCCGAAAGGCTCAAACATTCAAAGACACGTAGAATGGTGCCCCCGTGTGTATATTTATTCATTTCATTATTTCCAGCGGCCTGACTCAGAATTTCAGAACTCTAGGAGCTGGCTGTTTGCTTCATGGCACTGGCCCAACTCACCTGCAGAGGTTGCCAGAAGCCTGCATGCAGTACTAGGAGCCATGGGCAGCGAAGGGTTAAGGGACCCAGTGGAGCTGAGCAGTGCTCCATGACCCTGGGGCTACAACTCCTGGTTTGGCCTCTGTGAGTCAGCTCCCATCTGCTTCCAGCCTGCCCTGTCCCCAGCAGTCCCCACCTTAGTTCTAACTCCCCTCCCAGCTTCGCATCCCTATGGGCTGTCTGAAGTGCCCAGGGCCGGCTGCAGCGTTTGGAGGTCAGCAGGAATGGCTGGGCTAATGCAAAGGTTACTAAGAAGCAGAGCAACTTCTCCTGACTTTAAAAATTCTGCCACGAGGCAAATCTGGGCTGGGGACTAGGAACCAAGGTCCCAAGCTGGCCTGGGGAGCTGGAATTAGAATGGGAAATGGTGGTAAAACTGTCAGCTATGGCAAGAGATCACTTCTGCAAGTGTAGCGCTGACCATTAGAGGGAGCTCTTCAGCTAGAACATGCCTAACAGGAGACATTGGCCATTGTTTGTAATGAATCATTTGGCCACATGCTGCTGGGGAGGGATACTATGGGGGGCTACAACAATAATAACAGTGATGCTTTTTTCCTGCTACCTCCCAGGTTCCCCCTTTTCCTTCTTTCCTTGTGGGCAGAGAGGGGCAGGTGAAGCGGGTGGGAACTGGAGGAGAGCAGGTGCCGTCAGACATCACTATACGTGGAGCTCATAGGACATACACACTCTCCGCGTGTCAGTCCTCAGTCTCTCAGGAGGGTATCTCAAGGGGACGCTTTCTTGGTAATTCTCTGACGACATTTGCTCCCTGCTGATACATAGTAAGCAAGTGCCTGTCCAAGAACCAGCACTGAGCAGAAACCTGTCCAAATTGAACACTCACAAACTATCCCCTGAACTATCCCCCTTTCCCTCCGTGGCTCCAACTCTGTCCTAGGATCTGATGGTGCGAGCCCCTCTCCGTGTGCAGGACGATCTCTTGCAGACTGAGCCCTTTGTTTTCCCAACTCCCATTCTGCTCTGCATATACATCGCCAGCAACCACACACCTGGTTCCCGTCAACAGCTTCAGAACTTAATGTTAGGAAATTCCTACTGGAAACACTGTAGGGAGCTTCGAAACTAGAGGGGAGGGTCCTCAGGAATATAACCTTTCCCCCAGGCAGTGCCAGCGTTAATATGATATTTATAAACATAATGGATTAGGGGAGGATTGGAGAATGGGGACAGGAGAGCGACTGGGAGGGAAGATCTCTGAGCTCGGTGGTGCCCAAGGTGAGCCTTTGAAGCCAGGAGCCACAAACAGCTGAGATGCAGGGGCGAGATTCTGTGCAAGATGGAAGTGAGCTCAGGAGCCAGGGCTGGAGTGCAGAGGTGTGTCAGCGAGTTGTCAGTGTAGTGGTGACACCGATCCCATGTGGGTGAAGTAGGTCACCCCAGGGTGAGGTGCGGAGGGAGAAGGGGGGCCAGGCGAGAGCTCTCCTATCAAATCACAAACATTTTTAAGCCACTCTCTTGCTCGTGGGGCAGCAGACTCCTGATGTTTGAGCACTCGGGGTTGGCAGTAGTGCCTCATGGCAGCGGCCCAAGGAGGCTACCGGAGGGCTAGCAATCTGGGTGCTCGTGAAGGGAACTGAGAGACTCCCATCCCACACGGTGCAGTCTGCCATTACCTGGAGTTTGACATGGCTCCGTTGTAAGGATGCTTTGCAAACCCCAGCAGTGCGATCACTGTGGGACGAGAACTGAAATAACCTTATACAGCTGGAGCTCATCACCCAGGGATGGTTTCCCCCAGCTTGTACCCATCTCTCTGGTCAGAGGAGCGAATCATATAAGGGCAAATTAGCATAAAGGGTGGGGCTTGGATGCTGCACACTCAGGAGGATCAATATAAGGGGCAGGTTCTCTGGGGCACTCTCAGTGGATGTGGCTGAGTTTCTCCCAAGGGCCTGAAATCTCCTCACCATGCTCTGGGCTCCCCTCATCCTCCTGCTGGGGACGTGGTGCACAGGTGAGAACAGGGGGAGTAGGGTCAATACACATTGACATTATTGCTGAAGGAAGTGCGGAAACTGTGTCACTAGCGGCCCGGGACGGACACAGTGGGGTTCACAGGCTTCTCCATTATTTTTCCAGGTTCCATCTCACAGTCTGTGGTGACTCAGCCACCCTCAGCGTCGGTGTCCCCAGGAAACACTGTGAAACTCTCCTGCACCATGAGCAGTGGGACCAGCATCAGTGGCTACTATGTGAACTGGTTCCAGCAGAAACCTGGGAATTCTCCACGATACCTGCTGTATTACAAGTCAGATTCTGACAAGCACCAGGGCTCTGGGGTCCCTGCTCGCTTCTCTGGGTCCAAAGACACGTCCAGTAACGCCGGCTATTTAACCATCTCCGGGGTCCTTGTAGAGGATGAGGCTGATTATTACTGTGCTGTGTGGCACAACAGTGCTTGTCACAGTGATACAGACAGATGGGGAAGTGAGACAAAAACTTCCCCTCCCCAAGCCTGGGCCCTGCAAAAATTTACTGATTGTAGAGTTTTCTCTCCTGCCTAACATACGATAGCGCTGTTCATCACAAGGAAATTCATATGATCTTTCCTCCAGCAAAGAGCAGGTAGCTATCACCTGAGATCTCTGATGTAGGAAAATCAGGTGGGCATGAAGTGAGAAAGCAAAGGAAACAAAAATCTCTGGTGTTCATGAAGCCTATTGCCCCTCCCGTGGAAAGAGAGAGGAGGATTCAGAGGTAGTGTTCTGCACAGAAAGGGATACAGGCTGCCCTTTCCGGCTGCTGGTTCTGTTATTGCTCAGAGCTCTCCCCTGGTCTGCATGAAGGAGTCCCTCACTTGGCAGCAACATGGACCATTAACGGCGGGGCCTGCAACACAAGGATAGCTGATGGGCCATGCTGGCATCTAGCATCATTCTCCGCCTTTTCAGTGTGGGGAGGTGCATTCCAAAGCCAGGGGATAGATGTTTATTAATGGAGGCAAATTACGTCCCTGTTTTATTGCATTGCACCAGGTAACTGCTCATCAGAGAGGACTCCTCTGACTCTCTCACACGTTTCACATCTAGCAAAAGGAGCCAGTGATTTCACTAGTGAAACCTCTCAAGAAAGAGTCTCAGTGTTAGAAATGAATTAGGATGACTTCAGCCCAGGAGCGGTCACAACCTGGTGACTTTAGCCACTGGGGGAGCTCGTTATCTCTAGTAGTGGAGTGTGAGACAATGCCGGCGGTGCAGCAGTGTGCACACAGGTGAGGCTGCAGGCTGCTGGGGACTGAAGTTCGGGGTTCAGCAGCGTGGAGCTGTGCTAAGACATTCCAGCAATGGGCTGTGAAGACAGTGACACAGAAAACGTTCTCTTTAGCGTTCCAGATCCTTAACCCCATAATTGACACCGATTCCCCTCCGCAGAAATGAATTTAGTAGAATACAGTGACTGCGCAGTCAGCGCCCCTCAGCTCTGCCATTTCTGTGGCTTTTCCTAGCAGGTTGTGGTCAAAATAAACGTCTCCTAATTAGTCATGATTGAGACTCTCCCCTGTCTCAGGGCTCTGCTGGGTGAGGGAGGATGGAAGGGAGGTGCCTGAAGCAGTCAATGAGCAGGGAGCAGATTTGCATGGAGGGGCCGTTCTCCAGCGCTGGGGGTTTAAGAGAAATTCCAGCCACAGACCCATTGCATTTTTAAGATGCCTCCAAATCTTCCCAGCCATCCTAGGTTCAGCATCTGTCTAGGTCTTATCTCCATGGAAACCATCTCTATCTCCCTCCATCAGGAGTTTACCAATCCTCCCCTTGGCCTGGGGAGGATAAAGCAGAGACCAAGGGAGCTCAGGTTTATTCTTGTTGAGCCTGACAGGGACAAATTGTGCCCTGCCTGCTTCTTGGTTCGTGTTCTTTCTCTGATCTCCCACCTGCTCTGGTACGGCCATGGAATGAGACAGGCTCTTCCCTGATATCATTAGACTCAGGATACAGAGCCCCAAATCCCAGTGTCCCAAACCAGAGAAACCCTCATTTCCTTCATGGGTTCCCGTAGCCAGCAGTAGAGTCTGTCCCAGCAGGGGAACCTTCTCCATTTGCTGTTCTGCGCTCTGGCTCTTTAAACCCCAGGAGTCGATGCTGGTCAATGGCGGGGGGGGGGGGGGCAGATCACGCTGGTGGCTGTGGCAGTGCAAGACCCCCACTCTGGACTCTCCACAGAGACTCTTCACTTTTCTCCTACTTGCTTTATTATTTAACCTCACCTCAATAAAAGACATTTTAGCCTGAAAAGTATCTTTGTGTGTGGGGAGCATAACAGGGCCAGACCAGGCCAGAGCAGAGACATTCCTCCATCTCCCTACCCACCCCACCCACACCGAGCTGAGTGCAGACTTTGATCCAGATTCCAGCTTCGTCACTTCTGCTCTTTCTAAGTCCAGGGGACAATGGCACCTTAGACCTCTCTTAGGCCCTGATCCAGAGCCCACAGAAGTCAATAGAAAGACCCCCATTGACTCCAGCAGGCTTTGGGTCAGACCCTTAATGCCTTCTAAAGCCTTGCTGATGCAGTGTAATGAAACTGTGCCCCACAGAACAGCTGTCTCGAGTAGCATTGCACAGATATTCCAGTTCACTATTCATAAACCTCCACTTGACTGAACCCCCACCCAGGTGCACTGATGCCTGGGATGGACACATCTTTTTATATCTTGTCCTGGAACATTCTTTTAGGGGGAAAGAAAAAGTGTCACAAAAACACATGTGAATGTCTTGGCTCAGCGGTTCATGTCAGAAGCGTTCACTCAGCCATTCTGGACTCTCTTTGATGTCTCCACCTGGCAATAAATGGTTCAGCCATTCAGTCGAGAAGCAGAAATAAGACTATGTGACTTAGGGGACCAGTCAGATATCATGAATAATGAATCAAAGTGAATAGTGTATGACCGTCTAGTGACGGAAACAAACTCACGGGAAGTGTCAGTTAAAATAATTCTAAATAACAACCAATTTTATAACAATCAAAATAGGTTTCTGGTTAATTTGTGAAGAGGGAAAAGAGTAAAATTCAATTAATAGTTTCCCCACCTCAAGTTTCTGGGCAGGGCTCAAAGCTCCATGACGGTAGTTGCGGGGGGACTGGGGTGTGCTTGGTTCCAAAGCAGTTTGTGGGTGGATTATTTGTGTTCCGACATTATCCCTTCTATATGACGTGTCTCCAGCTCTTCCTGCCTCCTTGGTGGCACCAATGTGACTGCCTTGGACCCCTGGAGAACAACTTCTCACCTTTTCTTTTTAATCTTTGAAGGGAAATACCCCTTGTGGGGAGACTCTTATCTAGATATTGCAATAAGCCAATCTCCTGTGGGGAAGCGTCAACTTGTCTTTTCCTTCTGCATCGGCTAGGCTCAGTTCTGCGACACTCTTTGGTCATGCAGATCATTTAACCAGAATATACTTGGTTTCCCACCCTACCTGTAGCCCCTTCAGTGCTGTAGGCAGGGCCGGTGCAAGGAAGTTTCGCGCCCTAGGCGAAACTTCCACCTTGCGCCCCTCCCCCCAGCCCTGCGGCAGCTCCCTGCCCCCCGCCCCGCCCTGAGGCGCCCCCGCGTGGCAGCTCCCAGCCCCAGCAGCTCCCCACTCCCGGCAGCTCCCCCTCCCCCGCCCTGAGGCAC